GCTGTGTACCCATACTCCGACATTCCTTTGAGTCAACCTTGCTCCAATATCTCCTGTTTCCAGGATCCGTTTCACAAACCAGGTCTCCTTGCGTGTTGTAGCAATCCTTGCTTGTTTCTGTGATGTACCAATCCCTCCTGATCAGTCAGACTTGGCCAACCCTGCCTCCTTGCCATTTGGTAATCTTTCAGTATCCAGACTCTTCGGGGTACCTGCTTGCTATGTCCTGTCTTCAGGGAGTGAATGTCTCGGCTTTCGTCGCCTGCTTGGCTCTTCTCCTAGGAAGAACATACCCGCTTCTCCCAGAAATAACCCTTTTTCTTTTTTCTTTTTTCTTTTGTCTTTTTTACTTCAAGGATTCTTTTTCGTACGTAAATATCGTCTTAAAACCCTAACCTCTAATCCCTCTCTTTGCAGTGCCCTAGCAGGCCGCTCCTCCGGTTCCATCTGCCCTCCAAACTTGTCCTTCCTTTCCGAACCCCCAGTTATTGGCTCTGGACGCAGAGATGGTGTCATACCCTGGGCCCCCAAGCCCTCTTGAGTTCATGTCCTAGCTATGTTGTCCCCATACGTGTTTCCCTGTCCGTCTCTGACTCCGCCGGCCCCCTGACTCTTGGTGCTCTGCTGCCCGTCTCTGAACTTTTTTATATTTATCCCTTTACTCCTGGACCCCTACCGTGTTATCCTCGTCCGTCTGCTTTTCGAGGAGTAAATAGTCCCCCCATAGATGTCCGTTGTTGGTAGCTCCCTTCTGATAATGAGTTGTGCCACTCTTTCCGTTCGGTCCGATCGTCTCGTGTTTCTGCAATCTTGCTGTTTATCAACCAATTGTTGTCATAACTCTGTCTCCCCCTCTTTTGCTGCTCCTCATCCTCTGACCATGTTTACTTGGTTTTCTGCCATCCGCAGTGAAACTCGGCCTGTACCATTGATTGGAATCCGTCGAAACCTTTCCTCCTTGGGTTGGGCCGCCCTTCAGCTGTTCTGCTGCGTCTCTCTTTCCATATGACCCGTAGCGTCACCTTCCTGATGAGACCAAACCATATCGTTTCTGCTTTTCGAGTCTGATCCGGAATGTTAGCCCAGAGAAGAAGATGGATGGGTTTCTCGGGAATGGGAGATGGGAAGATTGAAATCCGAAGTGTCAAGTCTCTCGTCCGATAATCTGTCACTTCCTTAAGGCTGGAGGTAGTGGGGGGGTGTTAGGTCGGTGTGGGAGACGGTCCAGGTGTGGTGGCATATGTCCAGCTCCGTAGCGGGCAAAACCATTGTGCACCAGAAGTGGGAGGGGCTGGTGATAGGGGTGTCCTTATAGTCAGCGTTTTTTCCTTTTTCTGTGGTAGAAGGGAACGAGCCCTTTTTTATTTGTGCTCTTTCCAGGAACCCTTTATGTCCCAGTTTTCGAGGAGGGTACTGTTTTTGCCCGTTTTCGCTATCCTGATCGTATTGAGACAGTTGTTTGTTTGTTTTTTTTTGTAAAGAAGGCCCTTGTGCAAGACCTCTATCCCAGTGGTGGTAAGAGAACCACCAGGATTGAGGCTTTGCCTGGTGGGCTGCTCCATCTATTGGTGGGGACCATCACCTGCTGGAAACCAGGTCCAGCGTCCCTTGAATACATTTTTGAATTGACAAGATAATCATACAGATTTTGCTGGGAACCGGGCCCAGCGTCCCTTTTTACCTCTTCACCCTCAAATGAGTGGCGCCAGGTATCTCAGTTAAGCCCTGGTACTAAACTTGGATGATAATTCTGATAGTCTTTGCTGCTGGAAACCGGGTCTAGCGTCCCTTAGACAAGAACACTTAATTAATCCAAACCATACCAACTTAAAGGCACCAAGCACAAGGATGATAATGGGAATGGATCAGGAAAGTCCGATAATGGTCTTAGCGGAATCACAGGCTCCACCGTAGTCCAATCATGAAAATGTAGTTGATAGATCCTTCTGAATTCTGATTGCCCCCTTTTCACATTAGCACTTTTCACTTCCTTCCACTTTATCACTCCCACCTTTCCTTCCTTGGTATCCCCCCGCCAGTTGCTGCTGAATTGTTGAATATGACGGTCAATTTCTGATTGGATCGACAGATGTTGAATCTTTTCCTTGACTTTATCCCATTGAGCCGAGATCTCTGTCTGAATCTGCTGCTTAATTGAATCCGTGAATTCTGGTCCTTCCAGTCGAACTCCTTCCATCTCATTTGTACATCTTCTGTGCCAAAGAGCCCATAAGATGGCTCTCCTCCCAACTAGGAATAGATTTTGAGTGAAATCATCCAGCTGAGGGGGATTCCATGTTTCACATAGGAGGGTTTTCCAATCCCATGGCCACGGGAGTGAGGATGTGAGTTGACTCCAAATCCTATCCCACCATCTCCATAACCATACCGCACTGGGACACTGTAGAAAAATGTGCTCTATGGTTTCTGGGACTTTTCTTGATGGGAAGGTTGATGTACAAAATTTGCACCATGGTAGGGCTAAACCTCTTTGTTCAGGGTAGTTATGACTATAATCCAATCGTTTGTTGGAAGACAACGATGATCAATCTGCCATTGCAACGAGGCCACTTTCGCTGGTTTGGTCTTAATGGTTCTGAAGCATTTAATAGAGCGCATGGAATCCTTACTTATGTTTAGATGTCTCATCCAGCGTTCTTCCACTTTATCCCTTATATTAAAAGAAGGTTTCAACATCCGGTAAGTGGATTTAACTGTTAGTGTGTGTAATGACCGAGTCCTCGTTCGCTTTCCTCCTTTCCCTGTCCAGGTCCATTGAGCTGGATCTAAGGCCAAATTGTCTATTGACCGGTTTGGTCTAAATGCTAGCCATCGATCTTTGTCCTTCAAGACTCTGATTCTGAAAACTTGGTCCATCTGATACCATTTCGTTTCTTGGGCTTGTCCAGGAAAAAGAAAATTTTGGTGATCTATCGAAAAGATAGAGGTTAACACCGTCGAATCATCTCCCACCATGACCACATTTCCTATTTGCTGCTTGTCATCAAAGAAACCTACCCAATCTCCCTCTTGGAAATTCGGCCCTTTTTTAAAAATTCTTACCCAATCTAATGGAATTAATTCAATTA